TCATCCAATCAGAAGTAAAACCAAAGCCAATTGTGACGCGCTCGCATGCATTTTCCCGCGCTTTGCGTCAGCCACATGTAATTACTTCGAGTTTTGATTGGTTCAATGTATTGTCTGTGTCCTATGTGATTGGCCAGAGTAATTACTTTGGTTTTGGTTTTACGACACTCAAACGAAAACCGCTCTATTAATTTTTTTGTATTTCTTCCAACGAAATTGGTCTCCTTTGTTTTTTTATCTCTCGCTCTAGCCCTTTCTCTATTATCCACGTCAACAGGGTCATAGGCTCGTGACGCGCGGACGATTTTCTAAAAACCAAAAACCAAATTTTCTAACCAATGGCACTCCGCTATTGAAATGCTAAAAATTTGCTTGCGGCGATTGATAGGCATAAGCACTTAGCTTGAGCATTAATAAGATTGAATCTTCCATGAGGTGGTACACTACATCGTGGGCAGGCCAATCGGAGGTTGGGTCTCATAAGGAGAATTTTGGGTCCGAGCAAAGATCCTGTTACAATAAAAACGGATTGTTTTAGTTCTTCCTATTCTTGAATAGGCCTGCCTAGTGTGAAACCCATATTTGGTAAAACACATAACAGTCATAACAAAGCGTCGAAAAACGGCTTGTAAACGGTATCTGAATCCATCCCGGCGTCGTCATGCCACTCTGATTGATATGTGGATCTGATAAATCTTTCTCTGAAAGGTTCACTGAACTAGACTGGTCAACATTGGAGCCCAGAGGGAAATATCTTTGCTTGGTTCAACTTTACAAGATAATTCATGGCTACTCTGATGTGGACTATACCACATATGTGGATCAGAAACTAGAAGTCGAACCATGAAATTAAAATCAGGCCTAGAGCAGCAAGGACAATTTTTTTTTAAATTTTCATTTTTAAACGTTACATCAATGACTGGAACTCTTTACCTAATTCTGTTATGTCAGCTTCCAGTTTGAACTATTTTAAAACTCGACTACTTAGTAATCTTTGCAATTAGTCAGTTTTTATTTCTTACTATTTCTTACTATTTGGGTTATATTTTTTTCTTAATTATTTAATTAGTCCCTCTAGTTTCTTTTTTTCGTACACAATCAGTACAGTTTTGTATTAGATATTCTATTTTTATTTGTTTTTTTTTAGTTTTGAAGAGCAGTTTTTATATGCTTTTCTTTTATCTATAGTACTCTTATATATTATAATTCTTATGACGATGATTCCTCTTAGCAGTTTTAGTATACCTTTGTACTGTGGTAAAAATTAAAGCATCATTAACTTATACTTCAACTCTATAATCCCACATCCAAAAATCGCAAAATCGTGTGTTCCCTTTAGATTTATAATCTCCAGTTCTTCTTGTTTAATCCCACATTGTGAAAAATCTGTTGGTGTCTATCGTGTTTTAGTTTTAGTGTGGGTGCAGATATAAATATCAGTGTTTTTTTTAATAATTTTTTTCTTTGTATCAAACGTCATGCATATCTAAAACCAGAGAAAACAGAAGGAAAATAAAAAGAAAGGAAGAAAAAGAAAACAAAACCAGAATAAAATTTGAACCACATTATGCACTTGAGTGTTTTAGGCTTAGTGCATATGGGTGCAAATATAAATATCAGTGATTTTTAAATTATTTTCTTTGTTTCAAACGCCGTGCATATCCAAAAACAGAGAAAACAAAAGGAAAATAAAAAGAAAGGGAGAAAAAGAAAACAAAACCAGAATAAAATTTGAATCACATTATACACTTGAGTTAATTAATTTTTTGTCGACTGTGTTATGCCATACTACAACCAAAATAGTTTAATAATGAATAAAAAATGATAACAATAACCAAATAAGGTAATGCACAAGAAAATACCTGACCAATGGGATGTACCAAGGATGAAAAAGACTTTCCGAGAAGTCATCTTCCAAGAACATCTGCGTTTTGTCTGTGATCAAAGCAGATAGTGTCTGCATGCAAAAAACATGGCCCTGTAAATTGTCGAGGTGTGAAGATTTGCCACCTTCAGTGTACCGAAATACAAGGACGTAAGGTTGACGTAAGGTGAGTATTTGTTTATCTGAAAAGAATTGATTCAGCCAGGGTCTATCGATTTTCAGAATTGATATTTTTTGTAACTCTTCTAGAAATTGACAAGCTTATGTTGATAAGGCGTAAATGTAAAAGATTCCACTTAGACTTCGCCAATATAGCACTATAACTCACGTAAATCGAGCGAGCGGCCGATACAACTCTTTCATTTTAATATGCATGAGAGAAAGCTACTGCATTAAACAAATGCATCTTATTACATCTCTTTTATTTTGTATGTATATTTGGAAGAAATCAACCATTAATGAAAAAGTTTGTTCCTAGCATTATTTCTCTGTTTTTCTTTCCGTTTTTTATACATAAGTAACGACACTAGTGACCGATATGAAAACGCGTGTTTGAGAAATGAATTAGATATCAGAAAAAAAGTTCGCTTCTTATTTTAAGGATGTTAAAGGCAATACAAAGGATACAATTTACCTTGTGCAGAGAACTTGAAAGCACAGTTTCCTATATCTTTTTCTATTTCTCTCAGTTCCCACACCTCTTTTTCTCAGACCATACTTACATCTCATCCCTTTCATGAGTCGCAAATGTAATGGTAAATCTTACTTAAACTGTGTTAGGGGATATTTTTAAAATTAACTGAAAAGGAAAATCAAATTTTTAACCTGCTGTTGTAGTGGCAAGCATTCATAATCGTCCCGAAGTCCCGTGTTAGGGATTCCGGAATGCGGAAACCCTTTACTTGTGGAATCCGGAATATCTGGGAAAATCTTGCTTGTGGAATCCGGAATCCTGGGCTTTGGGAAACGAAATACAGCTCAAGGAATCCGGAATCTCGCAAACAATTAGAATCCCGAATTCAATAAGTTCCACTGTTAAAGACTGGAATCATGTAAATCCGTGGAGCGGAATCTAGAATCCAAGAATGTCTTTATTCCCTTACATGACACGAAGAATAAGATGACGTGTTCTAAGAGAAGGCTAGATATCAGACGCCTATCATTTACTAAATGGTAATATGGTAATACTAATACGGTAGTATTACCACATGCAGATGGTAATCTGCATGTAAAAGATTAATGTGCAGCTGTCGACGATCTGTCTCACAAATATGGGTGAAATTTTGCATTTTTATGTAAACTTGTCTTTTCCTATGCCGCTTGTAAACATACATTTTCAAAAGAAATCAAACGTGACCCTTACACTCCAGATTATGACAAAATTATTTATACAAAATTGACAATTGATCTGGCAATAAGATTAAGAAATTTCTTTACAGTAAATATATACGGTAGTCGATAATAAGTATAATTCACAATGCTTATCACCTCTGTCTGTGTTTTCTCTTGATTTAACTACGATGGCCCATCTTTTACTCATCCATTTTCAGAATTCTATTGAGGTATTAAAATGCCACAAGACAGCACTGGTTTGGCATTTTCTGGTGGTGGCATCAGGTCAGCGGCCTTTTGCTCCGGAGTCCTGCGCAGTCTACTTAAGAGCAGAGTTGAAGTGGATTATTTGAGTTGCGTGTCAGGGGGTGGCTACACAGGCACTGCTTACCTGGACTGGAAATATCGCGAACAAAATAAAGATGAAACGAGAGAAGGAGTGGGCGAAAGAGACTGGCACGAGGAGTTTTTTAACCATATGAAAGACAGATCAGGATACATTTGTGACTGGACTGGCTTTTGGAAAGGCGTCTTTGACACATTTTTCTTCGTGAGCCTCATTACTATAGTACTACTCGTCCATCCAGTAATTCAGTGGGGAACGTATGCATTTCCGGTAGCGGTTATGATTGATCTCTTCGGGATTGGAAATTTAATGCGAAAGGCAGCTGACTGCGATGCCGCTTTTGAGAGACAGAGAGAAATGAATGAGTCTGCAGTGCCTGGCAAAGACGTCATCGATCGTTGTCTAAATAGAAGTCCCAAACGTGATATCGCTATTCTTTTTTCTGTGCTGTTTGTTTGTTTTGTTGTCCTTTATGCTGTCAACTCATCAGCCAAAAAGTTCTTCTTTAAACACCCTTGTTTAAGAAGCGTTCTGCTTCTGTTTGAATACTCTACTGGAAGTGTGTTGATATTCACGTTTATCCCTTTTACAATATACGACTTTTTTGTGAAGATCCCAGTCTGGACACAGGTTATGGTTGGAATCCTTGCAGTGATTGTATGGGTTACAATTCCTTTCCTGCGGAGAAAGACCTCTTATGTCCTGATAGTCTATGTGTATTCTTTTGTCATATATTGGAAGGTATTTAGAGTTGACTTGCCAGTATTCTTTATCAAACACGAAGATCGTCATTTTCATTGGCTTCTGTTTGCCTCTGGAGTTGCCTTGGTGATTTCTCCCTTCACGACAACTGTAAAAGAGAAGCTTGTGTTTGTCTACAATAGGTAAGAAACGTTGTTCGCGCGATTAGTGGAAATATTTATGCGAACCCGTCAAGATAAATGGCAATGTACCTCTTTGATCAATTTCGATCTTCTTGCGGTTAAAATCATCTATAGCAATGTTCAATAAAAATCTTTTTAAAAATTATGTGAATGAAGAATCTGCAAATAAAAAAATGGGCACACAGACACACTTGTAAACCAGCCGGGGAACTCGCTGCTTCAGACATCTGTCTTAACAAACTGACCTTGTTTTGACATTCCGCTTTCAAAATTCATTTCCATAAGCGTCGAGCTCCATTTGCGAAAGGGAAGCTTCCACTGTCCATAAATTTAGGCAAGGCTAAAAGTGGAGATCCCATCCTTTTATTCAATACAAACAATTTGTTTTTCCAAACAAATTACAAATCATACAAATAACACATAATATAAGCTTAACTCATAGTGGTACGTACAACCATCCGAGAATGAATAAATTTGAAGTTTGATATGACTGCCATGATATTCACATTGGCTTAAATAGTGGATCCAATTTTCACTTTACAGGTGGAGGTTACAAAAAGCGTTTTATCACGAAAACAGCACCAGACTATACGGATGTTTAGGCATTTGTCCTCAAAGGTTATGCTGCTTATGCAACTCGAAAAATGAGACGAGGCCCCTGACCTTAGCAGATCTGAAAGACATGAAGCCCGAGTATATATCCAACATTGTTGTGAACCGTTGGAAGAACAACGAGAAAGACAAAACGAACTATACCCTGTTAACTATGTCACCCTCGGGTATACAGCGTTTTGACCAGTGTGGAAAAGGACAGTTCAAAGGCAAACTGGAACCAGAAGACATCATGTTGTCAGAGGCCATGGCGACATCTGCAGCAGCACTTTCCAAACACATGGGAAAATATGAAGAATCTATTGAAGGATTGACTCGTCTTCACACAATTCTTGGACTTGAAATGGGGTCCACAAAGATAAGTGATTCAAAACACCGAAAACAAAGTTGCGCATTTAAAAAGGTAATACTCGTATTAAACATGTTTTCTCGATGAATTTCTCGTACGTTGTGGAATCGATCAGTTGTGGCAATTTAACAGTGCTTCGCCTGAAATATAT